AACTGTAAGGGAGCAATTTTGTTTGTGGTGTTCTTGAGGGCTCTTGTTGCTTTTTCCTTCATTGAGGAATTACTTATCAGCTACTGTTTCATAATTGATCAGCAATTATCCTTGACACTTTTATCGCGGGAGCTGTCTTTAAGGCAGCGTTCAGACTTCGCGACGGCAGCGCTTCGGTCGCGCGTTCCACGCGATCGATGCATTCGAAAGCATGCGCATCGATCGAGTCCGAGGTGGGCCGTTGCGAAGTCTGAACGCTTCCTAAGCAATCACTAGCTTCAACTTGCTCCGAGTGGCAAGAATGACTTACTCACACTTTTACCTGCTCATTCTGATGACTGGAACAATCCACCTCTGACGTAGCGGGTTTTCTTGGTGTCTCCGTCCGCCGTTCAATACGCTGTGCCCACACTACTCGTAGCGGGCGTGTTCCCAACACGTTCGCTCAGGACGTGGGTAACCAAGATCCAGCAGCGAACGAGCTGACACGCTACCAGATTAGCTGTAGAGAACAACGTGTGAGATAGTCCAGACAAGTAGTACGTCTAGCTATCGTTGGGTGTGTGGCTGGTACGTGTACCGTGTTGCGTGTCTGTGGTCTGCTGCTCATGCACTAAATTGCTGGCAAAGGTGTAAAGTACAATCGGCTATCACTACGTTCTAATATCTTTTGTGGCAGTCTTTTCATAGCTCTTTGTACAAGAGATGAGTCTCCTCGCAGGTATACTCCATATTCCTGATACGCGGTAGGCGTGGCTGCATGCCCCCATACCTGCGTTCATTTGAACGGAGCAGTGAGTGCGCTTTTGAGGGAATATTTTCATTTTGAGACAATTGCTACAATGTCTCTGTCCGACATAAGACAAAATGACTGTCGTTAAAAAACTAAATTACCCGAATAATCCATCTTATGCCGTTCTCAAAAGAAGTGCCAAGCCGCTCCTACCTTAGCGATGTGGATTGTAACCTTTCAGTGTGTATTCGAGGGACTGATTACGTAATGGCTAGCTTGACTATGGAACGTTTCCACCAGCTATTCCCAGTATTCACTCTTTAGCCAACCATTGCGACACTAATAGTGAACAGAAACCATGTCTGAAAATCTGGGACTCTATAACGATACGAAACATTTATCATGTATAATGAGGTACCATAAAATATGTACATGCACAACAAAGCGCCTGAAAGCGCGGGCAGCTGAATAGCCTAGAACTTCGTTACAGAACTGGGAGGGATTGAAACTCGATTGCCAAGCCCAAAATACCTTCTTATGGCTTTACGAAAACTGCTCACGAAGTACAATACAACAATCGGTTCAATAACCTGGGTATACTGCAAACAAAACACCAACAATGTTACCACTGGCTCCTGAAATTCTATCATTTGAGCTCTGTTCTTGGTGAAAAAGGAGTGTTGATGCTCATGTGAACTGCTACTGGTAGCGCCTGCAGGGGTTTTTGTTAAGTTGGCCCATGAGTCCAGGCGTCTTTCCTTACGTAAAATTTTATGTGGGAGGTGTGAAGTTTTCCAAATGTGGTAATCTAAACTTGATAGATAATTTTCAGTTCTTCAAAAGCATATGTTCGGCTTCCTACTATTCTCTCGACTGTTGAGGGGGGGGGGGGTAGTTCATAAAACGAAGCGAAGCGTCAGGTCTGCAGAGATGGGAGCTCTGTAGCAACATTTTTATGCTTAATGTGGACTTTCGCACTGCAGAGGCAGCTCAAAACTTGCGGCGTGTATGAATGTATGAACAAAAAGTTTTGCTTCTTAGGACGGCTTGAAGTTAGTTCAAGCTAGGTGGGAATTAAGAGGTAATAATTTTGGACGTTTTGCATTGCATTTAACGCCCCTTCGGAAAGCGTCTGCAACAAGTTTTGGACCTGTCCCATCAAGCCCTTCAGCTCTACCGATTCCCATTTTTTGGCTTGGACCTCCGTGAACGAGCTGATTCAGTAAGCTCTCAGACGGAATCAGTGTGGCATAAGCTGCGATGTTTGTCTGTGAGGTCAGAAGTGGAGTATTCAAATCGCTTCATTACGATCATGCAGATTAAAAGTGCAACGAGTCTCCTAAACGAGTTCTGTGGTCAAAGTTTGCTCTAGCGGTTCTGCATGTGGAGCTCTTTTCAAAAACGGTTTCTTGTGTGATGTGGGGACACGTTCATGGGGTGAACACCTCTGGGAATACCAGAAAATTAGTGAAAACGAAATCTATGACCGATTGTTTTTTGAACCTCTGTGGGCTGTAAACCATCCTGAAACTTTGACCAGTTGCTGAGTCCTTGAAAAGGTAGCATTGAAACCGAGGAGAAAAGTAGTAGGTCTGGATACGAATATTGCACCTAACTCTAAATGTGGTGCCATATATCGCCAGTTTAGAGCCTCACCCTTCTCCCATTGAACTCGTTATATACACTCACTCAAGGGACCTTCAGCGCTATTCTGGCTCCAAATTGTGTCGATGCCAAAAATAAGTGTCAGAATCGTGATCGGGACAATCGATCACCCACCAATTTTTTTTTCACTCTTCCGGGTTGTGGTGGTTGTGGTAGACCATTTGGTCGGCAACGATGACCGGAGTCTCACACCTCCGTAGCGGCGATGACCTAACGATGACGTAGGGGCCCACCGAGCAGCAAAATCGCAAATTTGGGGCGCCCAAGGTCCTTTCATGCTTGGCTCTAGCCCTGGGTGCAGCAGAATACGTGAAAACTATCCTGCACGGAGAAGAAACTCATTCAACTTTCTCCACTTTTCCAAATGCACCTGGAGGGATGATTACCATATCCTTTTTTTTTCCTCGAAGTTTATCGCCATCTTAATTTGATATTTCTGTGTAAATGAATGCGAAGGTCTGAGTAACTAGGAAAAGTACGACTTCAGAAGAATAACTCTTGGACATAACCCAGTACACAAACCCGGAAAGTCAAAAAAACGTTTTGGCAGGAAATTCACCCATGAGGCTCAGAAACAACCGCTCCCATGGACTTCTTTTTCACTCCTTTCCGGTATTTCTAGAGGCGTTCACAACAAATTTTGGTACTCCATGCACGTGTCTCTACACTATACGAAACCGTCCTCAAAAAGCGCGTCACGTCCTGAACGGCCTCCCGATAAGTGCAGAGTTGGAATGTGAACGCTGTTGAGTGACCGAGAGCGTGGCAGTGGTCTAGCGGTGAGTGTTTTGCTGTTAAGCCTAGAGATCGCGTGTTTGCATCCTGTTTATGATTTTGCTTTGGGACCTTTCACTTTTTTTCGAAAGTTCCTCCGTTCATTGGCACGATGCCAATAGGAAACTCGTCCAAATATGCTTTCTGAGTCATATTCAATGGTTTCTCACGGGTTTTGACCATTTCACTTCGCTTTTTCGTCATTTTCCCTTTATACAGAGCCCATGACACCAGTATAGACGGAGTACCGAGTTATCGTGCTGGTCCAGCAGAGCAAGAAGATTATGTGATCAAGCATATATTGTACCAGAAGCATGGATTTGGTCACTATCTACCCTTTGTGACACTACACCTATAGGACAATTCGAACTTTTAGCAAGAACCACAATCTAGCTAGAAAATTCTCTCTGAGGTTATTTTGACCCCTGAATACGAATATCACACCCGCTCAGTGAAAGAGCGTCTGCAAGCTGCACCACGATGTACAGGCACTGGCGCCAAGCCAACATAAAACATTCCGCTAAAGTGCTTTCTCCAAGGGTGGTTCAACTTCCAGGCTGCGAATATTAAGTTTGCTTAGCTCGAGAACACTCATCTTGGGAAGACCGGCACCGAGCACTTTTCAAGCTTTTATGATCACGTACGAGGGTCAGATCCCGAACATGTTCCTGGTTCCTGCCCGAGCCAAGCAAGCACTCTATCCCAGCAAACTCTAGATTTATTCCAGATTCGTCAGGTACGATGAAAATACTGACTTATACAGCGGTTGGCCCGCGCAAGTCATGGGGTAGGCCACATTGTATTCGAAGAGTCATTGCGATTCTGAGCGGGAAGTAGAATGCGACACGCATCCCCGAAAGGGATTAATCGACAGGGGATTTTTTCCTTATTTAGGTAGCTTGTACCAACAGCGCAACAACATTAATTGAAGCAGGATCACTAACCGATATGTCGTCCAAACAGTGACATCACAATGATGGCTGAAGACGGTATGAACGTGAAAGTCAATGGGAAGATCGACTGAAAATACAATGAGCTTTTAGTGTTACTGCCAGTCACAGATATTTTCGGTTTGTCCTTAAAAACTTTGAAGAGTCAAAAATCTCTGAAGTGGTGGGATCGTTTACGAACGCTAAGGGTCTTTACTAAGGCCCTTCGGCTGGTATCTACAGCATCCCTACGGCAGCATTCAAGCCCCAGATCATTAGACAGGATCAAGTATACCTGAATTAGAAGAAGTCGAAACAGCTGTCTCTGGCGTTGTTTGGTTATTTCACTCGTTGCATCGTGTCTATAGAGCGATCGGTAGGTTGCTAAAAGGGATCCGGGCAATCGTAATGTTCACTGAACTCTATCTCGTTTATCAGTCGTTGCTTAGGTTGCGTTCACACTTTGCGGCAGCGTCCACGAGCGACCAGCAGCCTTCGCTAGGGCTCCGAGCGTCCGGCTGCAGTCAGCGGCCGAGAAAGTATAGATATCTACCTAGAGCCACCAGCTTGTGCCAGCCTCCACTAGCGTGCAGCAGTGTCTCGACGGCTAAGGAAGGATAGAATCTTTTTATCTACCAGAGTCCATCGGCGTCCGAGAGTGGAGAGTATGGCGCGATAGGAGGTAGCAGACAGCTGGTACCCTCCTATCGCGCCATACTCTCTACCAGCAGTCTGCCACCTCCTATCTCCCCATACTCTACCAGCTGTCTGCTACCCTCCTTTTGCGCCATACTCTCTTCTCCCGCACGCTAATGCACGCCGGCAGACGCTGGTAGACGCTAGATCGATATTTATACGTTCCTAGCCGCTGACGCTGCCGGCCGCTGGTGGACGCTGCCGCAAAGTACGAACGCAGCCTTATAAAAGTATTACCTATTCCACAAAAAGGAATCAGTGCGAACGTAAAACCGATTACGATACTGGCGTTGAACAACCCTGACACGTCCAACCACTGCACTTCTCCGTTTAACTGCAAAGAAAATCTGCGTGGTAAGGTACATCCTATTGGTAAAAAAAACCACATTTCTCTGTCGTTCACATCGCAAAAACCGCTATAGCATCGTAAAAGCAAAAAAGGGAAGTGAACATGAAAGCGGAAACAGGTCAGGGCCTGGTTGGCATTCGCACAGAGCAAGCGAGCGGTCCATCGCTTCGACCGTGGTTGATTGGCAACGGATGATGAAAAAAAGTGGCACGAACAAAGGCTGAATCCAGCAAAATAGCAAACTGGTTGGAAGGGGAGCGTGTGATAGATCTCAAGAAGAGATCTGTCAACACCAACGGGTCTGTTCCTATATCATGAACAATGAGAAGACAAAAAAGAAAAAAAAGGTAAATGGGTTTAAAACCTAAAACTTCCCAAGACACAGGAGAAGTGAAACACGTGAAGCTGCGACATCGCTCGGCGAGTTGTTCCTTTCTCTTCTACACCCTTTGGTCTGCACGATGCGCATTGTATGAACTGAACTGCGAACTATGAAGACATCCTGGTAGAATTTCAGTAGGTCACCTTTTCGAGTTTGCTGGAGCAAACGTGAGAATTTCTATACCGCAGTGTAGTGCATGTTATATACCAGCAGTATCCCCTTGAGGACCATCAACAACACAATGAAACCGTTTTCCTACGGACATCTGCGTTAGACTGTCCTAGCGATTTTTCTGCTTCAGATCTTGTGAAGGATAAGAACCTTGTTCACTTATGAAACTGAACTCAACCCTTTTCCACCCAATGCCTTCACCGAGGGGTTTTACTCATGAGTACAGGGAAGAGAAAAGTCCACTAAAGAACATTCACGCGCCTTGTCAGCCTGGTGGAAGTCTTACTCATATGGCATTCATGGCGGAACATTTTTCCGATAGCCGAGATCGTGCAAAAGCTTCATAACCGCTTAATTGGTGCTAACTAAAGCCGTTGCCAACTTTTGGGTAGTTGTGTTTAGGGAGTTGAGCGGATGGTCACCACTTATTTTCAGTGACCGACCAGAAGTTTGTCCACGTTCAGTTGAGACATGTTCTGCTACGAAGCTTTACATCAGCAAGTCACTGTGACATGGTGAACGACACCTCTATTGAATACAATGCAGTGATGTCAGCTCTCTCGACTCCAGCAGATTTCACTGCATGAACTAAAAAAAGGGAGGAAAGTAGCATAGAGAACGTAAGGAGACCGTCTGACAAACGACTGATGGACTGGCGACAGAGCTTCAATAGTAATGCACGAATACTAAAGTAATGCGTGTACATTCTAAGAAATCCTACCGCGTGTAGTGAGCCAAGATATCCAATATCGGCTATATCCAACTTATACCAACGCTTTACTTCTGGAGCAAAATATTCTTCCTTCTCAGGAGAAGGACCGAAATTGAAGAAGCAGACAGCGCCATAGTCGATAGCAGTGAAGGCGTAGAGTAGTACCATAATATAGCTTCGTTCTTTGAACAAAAACTGCCCACTGGGCCTGCAATAGGATTTTTTCAAATGGTATACATGACCATTTATCAGACCAAATATTTCGAGGCATGGCAACGTAACAGGGGAATCACCCCTTGTTACAATACGCGGGCTTCCTTGTTTTCAACTTGCCCGAGCTGCAACCGTGAATTTTCAGCTTTTCTCGAACATGATGAAATATGCAATCCCTCGGCCTCTGATCCGGGGCACGTCCTGTCTGTACTGAAGCGCACTTGATCAACGTGCACGCCAATACGATCGCGCGGGAAACGCTACTATATAAGGATTGCCAGACGGGCAGCCGTCACGATTCTGCCCCCCCTCTCCTCTCATCCCATTTCTCTTTTGGCTTCGGCCCCATGTTTCCTACTGATTCTTTAGCTATTGATCGTACGCCTCATTGATTACCATCTTCATATTTTTGCAGTCTCTTTGCATACGACACTAGTATTCTTCAGTTGTTTGACTTTTATTCTGCGACATAACAGATAAGCGTGACTGCTTCTCGTCTGTACTCAACAACAACCACTGAACCGCCTAGACATTTTGCACCCTTAATCAAGGCTATCAAAACCCCTTTTGCAAAGAAAGAGCTGCGAGTGCCACTTTTAATATACCGAATGATAGTTAAATACTATTCATCTTGTATAGGTGAAAACATATCTCTGTTAATAAAAAGAGGGACGTGGCCTGGTTGCCATACGCCTCAATTCATTATTCTTTGCGCCCAGCTGTTATTTCATTCGATGGCCTTATCTTTGTGTATCTTTGGAGTTCTTTCTTTGACAAGATGCGATCTGCTGGTCTTACTATGTTTTCTCTTTCTACCATTTCGGACTCTTCTTTTCTCTCTTTTTTTTTTTTTTATTCTTTGTTTTAGTATGCCTTATTTTATGAGTTTTTCTTTTTTTTGTCTTTGTTATAGGTTTTTGTCTTTTGTCTTTTTCTGTAATGTTATTATTCTTTCTCTTATTATTTCTTCTGTTGTTCATTCTTTGTCTATTCTATGTTTCTATGGTATGTATCATATATGACTATTATCTTTTCTTATTCTCTATATCTGGTCTGCTGTATTTGCCTGCTTGGTCTATTATCTTCTTGTGTGCTCGTGGTTTTTTTATGTTTTTTTTGTTCTGTCTAATGCTGTTCTATATATATTGTCTTTTTTTATTTGTTCTTGTCCTTTATATTATATGTCTCTTGATAGTCTGTGTCTTTCTTATCTGTCTTTATGTTTATGTATTCTGTCTGTGTGATAGTGGTTCTGTGTGTAATTTGTGTCTTTTCTTTTGTATCGTCTATCTTATATGTTTTTTCTTCTGTGTCGTTTTTTCTTCTTTATTTCTTTATGTGTTATTGTGTGTTTTTTTCTTGTATTGGTCTTCTTCTATTTTGGTGTTGTGTGTATATTGTATGGCTTGCTGTGTTCATCGTGAGTGTTTCTGTTATTATCCTCTTTTTTTTTCTCTCTGTCTCTTGTTTTCTGTTCTCTACTCTTTTTTGTTCCTCTCCAATTTCACCTGCCGTATCTTCTTTTTTTATCTTTTTTTTTTTCTCCTGCTTCTCTCGTCTTCTATCTTGTTCTTGTCCTTATCTTTTGTTTATTTTGTCTTTTTCTGTTATTCGTATCTGTTCTCTCTTTTTGTCTCTTTGTTTTTTTCTTTTATTTGTCTTGTATCTTATGTTTGTTTTTTTTTTTTTTTTTTTTTTTGTTCTCTATTGTCTCTTATATTGTCCGGTATCTATCTTTCTGTCTTTTTTTTTTTTTCTGATTTTTATTCTTATCTATGTGTATACTTATGTTTCTTTTTCTTGTTATTCTTATCTTTGATATGATTAGTACTTCGATTTTATATGTATTTTGTTTATTTGTGTTTATATTTATTTTTATTGTTAAGTTTTTTTTTTTTTTTGTGTAATTGTTTTGTTCTTTTTCTTGTCTGTGTTTTCTGTGTGTCTGTTGTATATTGTTTCTATTATCTGTCTTTGTATCATTTTTTTGTGTCTTGTTATGTTTCTTTCTGTTTTTCTACTGATCTTTCCTTCTTACTGTTCTCTCTTCTTGTCTCTTCTATTTTGTCTTTCTGATGGTCTGTGGCGTAGTCCTCTATGTTTTATTTGTCTTTTTGTTATTTTCTGCTGATTCATTTATACAGATAAATTTTCTTCTTTTATCTTTGTCTTTCAGTCTGTAACTCAAGCAACATTACGTTCTATTCTTGAATTTCTCTTTATAGCCCTATGATGGCATTGTATTCTGCGACATAACAGATAAACCTTACTGCTTCTCGTCTGTACTCAACAACAACCACTGAACCGCCTAGACAACTTTTATTCAGTTTAACCTTACCCACGATTCAGTTACAAGGGAGGTCTTTCAGGTCGTGGCGCGCTTTTTGGAAATGGTTTGTTGCTTGTTGTAGGGTCCATACAAGGATCACAAAAATGGGTTTCATTTTTGCTATGCGTATCTGGGTAGGTCAAAATCTGAGTAAAAAAATTCGACAAGATTAGGCGGTTTTGACCATCTTAATGGGCTCCATTTTTATTGTAACTTCGAGCATGCATTGTTTTGAAGGTGCTCTTTGATAAGGCTTCGAAAATGGCTTTGAATAAAGGCAAAATATGATTATCATGTGGTGGCACACTAGGCATTCACCGCCGCAACAGCGATGTTTTTATCAACGGTCCCTTCACCTCCACTGCCGGCAGCTCGGATGGCGCAACGGATAACACGATGGACTCTGGATTGGACGACGATACGGCACTTTGTGGATCGAATCCTGCTCGCGTAGATTAGTTTTGCATTTTCCAGTTTCGCGTTCCTGTGTCTCTGGCAGTGGAAATAAGCCATGTACATGCCAGTTTAAGGCATATTCTTTATTCGACACGTTGCATATTCGGATGGAGTAATATTAGGATGCAGTAGGCTTGCATCATCGCTTATATTGATGTGATCAACAGTTCCAGTAGATCAAAAAGATCTCCAGCATCCTGGACGGACGACATCAACGAAGGAGATGTTGTCGTCCCTTGTCAAGAAGACAGCAATTGTTCTTCTCTGGCTTTTGTTAGGTGTAGTTGGTGCAGTAGATGCATATGCTTCACATGTTTTGTTGAACTTTACCACAGCTGTGAGATTTGTCCATCAATGAAGGGAAATGGTACACAATGAGACTAGAACATTCCCGGAAACAGGCTTTTCCGCACAACCGCGCTGGTTTGCAACGTGTCGAATAAAGAATATGCCTTAAACTGGCATGTACATGGCTTATTTCCACTGCCAGAGACACAGGAACGCGAAACTGGAAAATGCAAAACTGATCTACGCGAGCAGGATTCGATCCACAAAGTGCCGTATCGTCGTCCAATCCAGAGTCCATCGTGTTATCCGTTGCGCCATCCGAGCTGCCGGCAGTGGAGGTGAAGGGACCGTTGATAAAAACATCGCTGTTGCGGCGGTGAATGCCTAGTGTGCCACCACATGATAATCATATTTTGCCTTTATTCAAAGCCATTTTCGAAGCCTTATTAAAGAGCACCTTCAAAACAATGCATGCTCGAAGTTACAATAAAAATGGAGCCCATTAAGATGGTCAAAACCGCCTAATCTTGTCGAATTCTTTTTACTCAGATTTTGACCTACCCAGATACG